CAAGGTGACATGATCTGATCTAAAAAAAAATAATTTTTTAGTTTGTCGACTAAAACCATGTGTGCAGTCTTCCTTACCATGCTGCCTGACCTTATTTTATATAGAATACTTTCTCATACTTTGCCTCTTAAATCTTCATATTGTAGAATCTTCACATTTTGTGTCGCGAATATCGCCTCATGTTTTGTCTCATTTTATTTTGGCATCCGATTGTCATCTAATAGAATCTTGTCACATTGTAAAGTCTCAAATGGAGTACACTTCAAGACGGCTACCCATTGTCAAGGAGAAAAGTGGTTGTCTTAGGCAGGTGGATGTCTTTTACAGCGAATTATAATGTTAAAACAAAACACAAGCAGGGGAGTGGAAGTGGTCGTTCGTACAGGTGATTATCTTGGGCAGGTAACCTTTTTTTAGTAAGGGTTTTACGGCACTTGCACCACAATAAGGTCATATAAGTGCCGAATGGCAGGTAACAGTTAGAGCAGGATCAGCTGTATTTTTGCGGGTAGTTGGGGGGGCGTCACTGGTAAGTGGTAGGTCCTACTTCTTTGCTTCCCTTCTGTTGTTTCCTTTTATGTCTATTGTATTTTTCCCTGCACTTAATGACTATTATATTGTGTCGATGTCCTTCGTACATAAACAAACAAACAAATAATACAAACATACAAATAAACACACAAATAAACATACATATCATACATAGATATAAACAAACAAACAAATAAACGAACAAGTAAACATACATACAATAAAAGAAACAAATAAACTAACAAACAAGTTAACATATTTACAATAAAACAAACAAACAAACACACTGTATTTTCATAATACCTCGTATGTGGTCACCTCAACTCTTTTGACACCTGTGTCTCTATCTCCAGGCCCGGTCCTTCTTCCAAGCGTCGTATGTGATGTCTCCGCACCTGTACGAGCCGCACTACAACTTTGCCGCCCTCGCAGACCAGGTAAGACTGTGTGTCATATTAAAATATTAGTGACTGTTGCGGGTGGTTGGAGGGTGCCACTCACTGGTAGGTCCTACCTTTTTATTATCCCTTTGTCGTTTCTGTCTATTCTGTTTGTCTTACTTTTTCCCAGCACTAAATTCTTCTTCTTCCTCTTCTTCTTCTTCCTCTTCTTCTTCTTCTTCTTCTTCTTCTTCTTCTTCTTCTTCTTCTTCTTCTTC